CTCTGGAGTCTGAGCACCCCTAGTGAGCGCGGGTACCTAGTGTGAGTGATGTGATTTTGCCCGAGGGGCTGATCTTGATTCATGTTGTTTCCCGAGGGGCCGATTATGAGTGATTGTGAGATAGCTCGAGGGACTGGTTCTGATTGATTATATGCCTGAGAGGCGGTTTTTGATATATGTCTTGCCCGGGGGGCTGTTTATATTTTCACCATCTTTACTAACTATTTCACCACTTGCTTGAAAACTATTGAAGGTTGTTTTTAAAAGGTTTTACTGAAACTGAGTTTTCATGAGATAATTGAATTCTGTACTGCTTTGGAAACATAATATTTTGCTGTAGTGCTATGACGTGAAATTATCTGCTTTCTAACTGCTCAGCTTTCATTTACTTTTATTACTTATTGAGTTGGCGTACTCATATTATTCCCTGCACCATGTGTGCAGATCTAGGAGTTGCGGGTTTCGATAGCGAGCACTGATCGTTCTTCTAGCAGGTCTTTAAAGTTGGCAAGGTAGTTGCTTGGCGTTCGCAACCCTGCACTTCTCCTTCTTACCTTACTCAGACTATTCTTAGTATCTTTATTTTCGAACTATGATAGCCTTGTTGTACTTAGACAAACCTTGTAGTTGCTCGTGATTTGTGACACCCCAATGTCGGGCTTGTGTTATTTTCTTCCGCACTGGTTATTTAGACCCCTGTTATGAGATATTGCCAATTAATAGCTTAAAACTATCTTTTATGAATTCATAGTTTGATTTGGGATTTGTGTCGGCTGGCCTAGTTTTACGATAGACGCCTTCTCTACCGGTTCAGTTTTAGGGTCATGATAAGTTGATATCAGAGCCTAGGTTACATAGGTCTCACGAGTCATGAGTAGGTTTAGTAGAGTCTCGCGGATCGGTACGGAGACGTCTATACTTATCTTCGGGATGTTGCAGAACCTTTAGGAAAAACTTCACATTCTTGAATTCCTATCGTGAGAATCTATTGATTCTGGTAACTAAACTTGTATTATTTTATTCTTTCACAGATGGTGATGACACGTGCACTAGCCCAAAATATATATATATATATA